GAAGACAGAATCACCCACGGCTGGGAATCATTGGCTTTCAGGGCGAGCTAAGAAGGGACTCCTTCAGTCAATGAGAGGAAAAATAGAACCTGACATGTGGCCTTAGGGTTTGGATAAAGGACCTTAGGAATTCATAGACTGTCCATAATCTTGGTTCATGATGTGTACATTGTTTATTCATGTTGTGCACTTAGTGATGAACCCACCACCATAAACTTTGCTCTATCCTCCCCACCCCACCCCTGCCTCTTGGTTTGTCTTAAACTCATGATCCTCCTGCTTCAGCTTCTGGAGTACTGGGATTACAGATGTATGCCACCATGCTCAACTGCTTTGTGCTGTATGACTTATGTGCCTCAGCCTCATGATCACCATAGCAACCATTGCCCTGCCTTCTGTGTTTATCATTCCTCTTGCTTTATTTTCCAGCTAGTTTTAAAAAATCTGGTTACATTCTAAAATGCTTTATATTGAATTTGCTTTTAAATTTATGAAAAAGTGACTATGCTGTTGCAATCCTGTACATTGGCTGTTTTCACACTAGGCACCATACATATTGCTATGTGTCGCTGGAGTTCATGTGTTTGAAGTATGTTATAAAATCTCATTTTGTGACTATGTCAGTGCAACATCCTTACTTATTAGACAGTTTTGTAGACACCATTTTGTGCTTTCCAGCTGAGTTTTATACTCTAAGAATCTGTGGAGAGTATTTTCACAATTTCTGGTGTATTTTAAAGAAGGGGAAGGAATAATAATTTTTATGTGAAACTCTGGGGTACCAAGTTAAAGTTTTAAGAGCTATTTACCAAGTCAACAAAAAAAAACTTTCTGTGGATTTCCTTCAAATTTCTGGATTAGATTATTCAGGATGAGACTTTCTCACCTGGATCTCAATGACAAATCAGCTCAGAAGCCTGTGAAATTCTCCTTTTACCAAAGAGAAGAAGAAATTACTAAAACAGAAATGTTAATAAGTCCTGCAGCGGAGGTAGGCAGTAAGGCAGAGTGCACTCATTTAACACAGTTTGCTGTAATGCATGAAATTCTCAGTGAAACATTCTTTTCTCACCCAACATCTGGAAATAAGGGAAAAGAGATTATTTTCAGGGAGGTAAACTTCTAAAAACGGAATCTTTAAAAACTTGCAATCAGGCTGAGGGATGGTTGTAGAAGATTCCAGAACCCATTTTAAGAGCTCTGCTTGCATTAGGCTCCAATGGCAGAACACTCTTGACTGTAAAATGGTGTTGCTCAAGACAGAATTTGCTCTTGGCATCAACACACATATTTACCAGTCACGTTTACTTCCCTCTTCTGGTGTGCTCAGCCTCTGAGACCTGCTGGTTTCCAGCCTTTTCTAAGACAGGCGGTTCTGCCAGGTGGTACTGGGACTCGGAGGCTGAAAGCTACTCTGAGGATATGGTGGGGCCTTACGTGATGATATCACTTGAGGAAGATAGTTTGGGGAGGTCCTGATCCAGTTGTCTTCCTTACGCCCTCCTTCATGCTCCAGTATTACCACAGTTCTTCGTTCACCTTGTGCTTGCCTGTGTCATGCCCTAAGTTAAGATTCTGAGGATAAGTGCTAAAAGATCTGCCTGAGTTTACCTCATGGACTTTCTAGAACAGGGATGTATTGAGAACTTGGGAATTCTCCTGGCTCTGTAGAGAAGTTTTTTTAAAGTATGTATCTTTGTATTCATCTGAGAAGAAGGTCTGTAGATTCTGACCCTCTGCTGACCTTCTTTCAGCTGAAGAAGTTTCAACCATGACTTTTGGGGTACAGGTTGTGTTTTTGAGGTACTACAGGGGGCATCTGGGAGCCAAAGTTTAAGCTCTTACAGATGCAAAGGACTTGGATGTCCAGGCACAGAGGAAGGAGAAGAGTGTGTGGGCGGAGGATAACGGAAGTGACACTGTGCTGTCCTGTGATGCACAGAGCTGCTGTAAGTGATTGTCTGCATAGTTTTGACGATTTCCTAGTATTATTGCTTTGGTTCATGAATCCCTTTCTGTGGGAGTTATAAGCAGGTGAGGAGCAGGGATGAAGGGGTGGTTGCTTCAAGAACATTCAGGAACACGTAAACAGCTGCAGGATAATAATGAAGATGCCGTGTTAAATTTTGTAATTTAAACTCAATATCTGTTCATAGTTCCTGAAAATCAATTCACTTCAAGTCAGTAAAATCAAACTTACTTCAATGGGCAGTAACTGAACCCTTGTGCACAGTTTTACACCCTTCCTACAGAAAATTTGGCTATGTATCATAGCTCGTGAGCCACTAAGTGGAGTGGAGGTCTGAGGTCCACCAGCCTGAGAGGAAGAAGTTTTTAGTACTACACTGTGGTCTAACACGGATTGGCTTGGCTTGCCTAGGTCACTCTGTCTACTCCTGTTACTTCTGTGCTGTTATTAACAGCATTAATAAAATAGCACTAATTATTGCATTCAGATGACAAGTTATTTGAATAATTTCTACAGCTCCTTTATTGCTCTTTGTTTAAATCTTACCTGTTTGGTCTCTTTTCTCCTCTAAACTTGTGAACTTCTTCAGGTTCACTTTTCTCCTGGTCTAGCACATGTCTACTATGTGACTGACACCTAACAAACTTTTGTTAAATTGACCTGAAATTAAAGATAGAATGAAGAAGAGGCAGAGTAGAAAAGGCCAGTTCACATTACTTCCCCAAGTGCTGCAAAGCTTTAGCCTGGAGGCACGTTACTTATGGGCTTTGCGCCTTGGAAAACTCATTCAATATTTTTTCAACTAAATGAGAGAATATATGTAAAGTGCTTAGAGATGGACTTTAAAGTGCCCAATAAATGTTAGCTCCTCGCACTGTTATCAATAACACTTACTAGTAAAACTGTTTTATATGCAATAACTTTGAACTTCTTCTTTCTTAACTGGAGAATGAAGATAATAATTCCTGCTTACTCTGTCTTAATAATGAACACAAGGACAGTTTGGGAACTATAGAGAGCTCTCAGTGCATAGCCCCTCAAAGAATGCATGCTAACAGAATCTGTGCAAAGTTTGTACGGACTCAAACAAATGACATGGGGCTCAACTATCAATATAACAAAACGTAAAAATGTGTTTTAGAAGGCGTAGCGTGATTAGGTTGGGTAGAACCTCAGAGCACAGATCAACATAAACTCATCTATGCTAAGTTGTAGAAGAACAGCAGAGTGTATGGGAAGATGGTGGAAGGACTCAGGACAGGCATGCCTGTCAGAGCATTGCTGCAGGTTGGATGCAGAGTGGAGCTGGTCTATCTTGAAGCTGGAAAGCAGCAGCTTGAGTTTGAGTGGAGAGTACTCATGTCAGGACAGACTTCTATACTATAAAATAAGTTAAGTGCATGTCAGAGAAGTTATACCAAATGTAGACAATACCTAATGATGCTATTCAGCTCCTGTTATTGGTAGGAAGGAATGTAGTAATTATTCATGAGAGCCCCTTTCAGCCAAGGATCATAGAATATCTTCTGAAAGTGTAGTATTCATCAAGTGGCATAGAGATGTTGGTGATGTAAAGTCTGATATTCAGTTCAATTGCTACACAGCGACATTTAGCAAGTGCTGAGCTGTTGACACTGGGAATTTTGGGATCTAACTGCCAATAAACCAGGTACTAGGTTTCTACGTCTGTGTTGTTGGGGAAACAAGACCAAGTCATAGCAATATCATCATCACCACCATCATCACCATCATCATCATCACCATCATCATCATCATCATCACCATCAGCAGCAGCAGCAGCAACAGCAGCAAAAACAGAAGGAGGAAGAGGAGGCGGGCAATGCTGCTGTAGTTTTATGCATATTCAGTGATTTCATTCTCACAGCAACCCTGAACTATCACAACTCCCATTTTATGTGTGACAAGCCGAGGAATAAAGACATTACATAGTTTACTAAAGGTCATATATCTAGCAAGAGGCAACATTAATCTCTGAATCCAAACTGTCTTAGTCTAGAGATTATACTTTTACCCACAGCATTCTACGCCCTCTCAGTTTTAGCTGTTATAACCGGTACAAAGCCTACCTATGACTTTGTGGACTATAGTTGTGGGAATGAGACCATACGCTTCAAGGATGGTTTTCTATTCTGTCCCAGACTTTTCTTATAAGAAAAAAACTTTTGTCTTCATGTTCATGGATTAGAGGTGAGACTCTACTTCGCATGTGTGTGCTCCAGGATCTGGTAATAGCCCCCTATGGCACGTGGTAGGTGCTTGATAGCCAAATGGTCTCTATGGCATTTTCTTCTCGATAGAATTTTTTGCTGCTGTTACTGAACAAGGGAGGAACATTAGAACAAACAGCTCTACCCACCATTCACAAAGGCAAGTTGACCATTAGCCCTCTGTGATCAAAGTCCTTTACTGAATGAATACTGCTCTAAACTCAAGGCCTGATTCACTTCTCCTGCTTATGGGCTGCTGACCCTAGTAACTGGTATCATTTTGCCACTGTCATCAACTAGTCTCTGTCCTGTTTTGTGATCATTCTTGTGACAGCTGTGAATTAAATTCAAGATATGGTAGCTGACCAATTTGGGCTGAACCTTAGCTGTAGAACTTTTAGCTGCATGGTTTTGGACAAGTCATTATATCTTCTATCTTGAGCTCAGTTGCATAATTTATGAGATGAGGGAGAGATCTCATTTCAGGAATCATATAGGAATAGGGGTGACTGGGAGACTTAAACAAGGCCACATATCTCAATACCTGTCATAGTGCTTGGTGCAGGGTAGCTGGGTGCTCAAAGTGTGAACAGTGATTTTCCCGCCTAAAGTACTCCTTTTTTTGAGGTCAGGAGTTATGTCTGAAGCTTCTTGGGTCAAAAATCCTGCTTTATTCTTTCCATTCTCCCTCCAACCCCCATCTTCCTCCATTAGCTCATTTATTCCCTTCTTCCATTTCATCCTTAAAATTAGTGTTTATTGTTAACTGACCAGTATCGGGAGTCATTTTGATTCTGTTTCAGGAAATATTTGGCTATCGGACTCAAGGCTGTCGGAAAGCTCTCTGCCTTGTTGGGTCTATCTTCTCCTTTGGACTTCTCCCCCTGGTATTTTATTGGAAACCAGCGTGGCACGTATGGGCCAACTGTGTCCCGTGTTCCCTACAAGAAGCAGATGTTGTGTTGCTGAGGACAACAGTAAGTGTGCATCTGGTTTTATAGATAGTATCCGTTTTTAATGAATATTATGTTGTAGGATGACCGGAGATGTGCCCAAGGCATGTGGCAGATGGGGAGGTTCCACCATAGCTCTGTATCTACCTAGAATTCAATAATTGGTGTACAATGGGATGTGTTAAGAAAACCTATTTCACAGGAGAGTCCTTAAAATTTTCAACTTTTGTAAATGTTAGAGCTAAAACAAGCATGTCAATTGCTAAAATAATGGGTAGTGGAGAGTACTTAAGTCAGGCTACACATGACTAATACAAAATTCCTTCTGACCCTTGCCTGCTGTAATGCCTATAGCCTCCAGTGGAGTAACTCTGGAGGGAGAAGGGAGTTTGGGAGACAGACCAAGGAGGCTGCTGTCTCCCCCTGCTGACTGGAGAGAGCCATAGTTTTTGATAGAGTATGTCCTGTTCTGCAGAAAAACTAGGGCACAGAATGCATCCATCTTGTCACTGAGGTCAGTACCTGTCTCTGCTCTAGGCTGGGCATCAGGTGAGGTGCTCTGCACTTGTTTTTCTGTCACTTCCTTCATAGCACTCCTGACACTTAGGTCACATGTATCATTCCTACAGGGTGGCCAGCTCCACTAGGGGATGGATTTTCTCTCACTTGTTGATTGCTGTACTCCCAACTCCTGCATCACTAGGAGTTCCATTAATGTGAGGTGACCGACTGACTGACCTGAATATGCCTACTGAGAGAATGAAGGGACAGTTTTTTGGAGGATTCTCTCATGACTAACTTACCCTGTGGTTCTAACATGGCAACAGTATAAATGACCCACAATGACAACAAACTTTGATAAACCAACCTCTTTAGGGAGTTTAACTCATTTTTATATGTAGCTATCTTTCTACGTAGACATTTTATTATGCAGTACGAGGGAAGGATAGCAGCACATTCTACAAGTGGTTAAACAAAAACAGAACAAAACAACCCCCTGACTCCAAACAAAACAAAACACCCTACATTGAGGTCTACAGTCTCTCTCTCTGTGTGTGTGTGTGTGTGTGTGTGTGTGTGTGTCTGTGTGTATGTCTGTGTGTGTGCACATGTACATGTGGGTATTGCTCAAGAACCTCCAAAAGCTTTCTATACAAATGAGCTTATTACCCTCAAAGCACACCAGCTCATCTGGACAATGTGTTGTTCTCCTTATTACTCAGCAGGCCTTGCATGTCTGTGCAGGGAGTGGTGTCTGAGACTGGGACTCTAGGGCTCTATATCTTCCCAGGCAGGTGATCTCTTCTAGTTGTAGGCTGTCAGTTTTGCAACTTAACATATACTGGGAAGAATAAAAAAAGCACTGGCACCTCTAGAAGCTGCACCCCACTGTGCTGTCTCCTCTGCACCCAGGAAAGTCTATCAAGCCCCTCCCACCTCTCCTCCAGAACTAATCAGAGAAGCCTCAACTCCCTTCAATCTTGCCTTTTCCATCTTGATTTCAATTTTAATTTTTAATTACCTGCTCTTGTATGTCATTTTAGATGGATTTGCTATGCCAGAGACTCTCCAAATAAATGAGCTTCTAAATTAGTTTTTATGTAATTAGACAAGAACTCAATTATTTCAAACATTCTAACTATCTGAAACTTAGATTAAAAAATAAGCTTTCGGCACCCATAGTTTAAAAGTCTACTGCTAGGCTGTTGCACTAAAATGACAAAGGATTTTATTTGAATTATAGTACAATAGCTGGGCTGTAACCAGTTCCCGTTAAAGAAAACGGAGTCACTCCTACCTGAAAGTGTGTTGTGTATCTATTCTTTGTCTTATTAAAAAATCAGTGCCTGCAGTTTATCATCAATCTCATACTGGTAAGATTACAGATTATTATCATGAATCCTGATTAGCTAATCATTTCTTAACATTAAAAAAGTTATGATACGTATACTGAAGAAAGAGTGCTTTTTTTTTTTTACTCTTCCCAGTATACGTTAAGCTGCAAACTGACTTCAGTATTCAGTTTATTTTCTGTTCCTTTTCTTTATTAAGCAGCACTAAGCACAAAATTTTTATCTTTTTTCCAATAGATGAACGTAATTGCAATTTTATTTCATAAATGTTACTGTATTTTATTCATCACTCATCTAGGTGCGAATTTTAACCACTTTCTGCAGTGTTGCTGCATTTCTATGCAAATAACATGATTAAATTCATCAGTGCTCTGAATTAAATGCTCTTGATGATTTCTATAGCTTCCATCTTTGTTATAATTACAGACACATTTCCCCCTTCATTATCACTATATGTCATATCCTGTCACAGCCCCGGTGATGTGCAAAGGGGAGCTTTGTGATGAGGTAGTTAGATATGAGGCCTGAGTCAAGGCACTTCATTTTGATGTTTGACAGGTAGCATTTCCTGTCAGTTTCAACGAAAGATGGCGGGGCTAGGGGCTTCAGTGCAAAACTCAAGAAACTCTGCAAAGCATCCAAGCACAATGCATCCTGAAGCCTGCAGGTCCATCAGGCGCATCTTCAACCAGTAGAACTTATGTTTGCTTATCCCTTATATCTCCTCCTCCTCCTCTGCCTTTGCAACTTGGTTTCTCACGAGCATAACTTCCCATACCAATAACTTGTTTTGTACATGCTTTTATCAGAAAGTTTCTACAGATAGTCACTCACTCATCTATTCATCCATCCACTCATTTGTTCATTCAGTAAGTATTTACTAAGCAACAAACCTGGTTAGGTATGACTAAAACATGGACATCCTGTCCTTATAAAATGACATTCTAGTGAGAAGTTGTCTTTTTCTTTCTATCTTTCTCTTTTTCACACACACAAATGCTCACGCTCACACACATATGCATTCTCTATAGAACATTGAAAGTAGGTGTTCTAGCTCACTTATTAAAAATTCCCCGTTCTTTACCTGTATGTCACATAACAGACAAGATGATTCATTCCCTTCCACAGTTCTGGAGGGAATTAATCATCTATCCCAGTAAGTTTCAGTTCTCTGTTCTCATTATTGACTGTTGTGGTTTTATAGTCTTTCTTTTATTAAAATGCTGTTCACTTTTCAGCTTGCATATCACATTCCATTGTGGTTATTTTATTTGTCATAACAACCCCAGAAAATGGGTATCCTCATCTTTATTTTGCATATGAGATGCCAGACATTCCCTCCCTCAATTTTTCTTCCTTTGTAAACTTTGTGATCACCAATGTAACACCACAGTGTTAGGTCATGGGCAGGCATTGGTGAAAGGAATATGTATCAACAGATTGCTGCACAAATGAACACAAAACCACAACTACTAAAGAGGCTAATTAGGAAAGAGTCATAGTTACGGTAGGATCATATAATAAAAATTTAACCAAGATAAAATTGAGAAAGACTTTTCTGAGTTCCAGAGATGATGGTGGTTGATGGGACACACAGGATTTCTAGGTAAAGGAAATCATGTGGGCAAAGAACTTGAATCTGAATTTTCTGAGTCTCTGAGTCCTAGTTTTTATCTCTCATAATGCTCTGTTCTCTTAATAGCTTTCCTTCTGTTGGGTTATAGCTTTTTAGAGACAGTGGTTGGTGTCTTGCCATCCTCTATGGCACCTAGCATGTGGCCACAGCAGGTGCTCAGCATTTATAAAGAAACAATAAAATCTATAATAAATAATCATATGGTTTCCATCAACACTGGTTCAAGATACTAGTGTGAGAGGCCCGTGAAAAGGCAGGAGGGCACAGCGTTGTGGCTCTTGGGCGTACATTTTCTCTTCTGAGGCCCATTCTCCTTTTCAACCTGGTTTTCACTAGACATCCAGTCAGAAATAGAGCCGGCCTCTGCAGAAAGACACCATGTTGACAAACAGTTCTGAAGCCTTAGTCTTTACAACATGACCATCTATGTTGTGATTTAACACCTTAGAAAGTGTGTACAGTGGGGCTGGTCTCTGCTGAGGCGTCTCCTCCTGGCTTGCAGAGGATTGCCATGTCACTGTGTACTCACGTGGCATTTTCTCTGCTTTCTCACTCCTCTGGCTTCTCTTCCTCATGGTATGTGGAAATCAGTCCTATTGGAAGTTGGGGCTTCAATATGTGAATTTGGCCGGGGAAAATTTATTCTATAACAGGAAGATATTTAAACCCTCACATACATACATAAGGTTGTGTAAGGTTGGCGTAAGATATGCAAGTGTCCTGGTTTGCTTTTCTGTTGCTGTGATAAAACACTGACTGGAACCAACCTGGGGAGGCAAAGGTTTATTTCAGCTTACAGATCATATGTGTAGCCTGTAAGACAAGTCCATCATCCAGAAAAGTGAGGGTAGGAGCTCAAGGCAGGAACCTGGAAGCTAGAAGTAAAGCAGAGACCATGGAGAAACACTGCTTGCTGGCCTGCTTCTCTGGCTTGCTCGGCTACCTTTCTTATACAGTCCAGGCGCATTTCCCTAGGGATGGCGCTGCCCATGGAGGACTAACCACCAGTGAATGACTAAGAGAATGCCTCATAGACATGGCCACAAGCAAAGGCGATGGAGGAAATTACTCAGCTGAGGTTCTCTCTTCCCAGGTGACGCTAGTTTGTGTTAAACTGACAAAGCCTAACCGGAACAGTAAGATACTCTACTTCATTCCCATCTCAAAGTTAAACTGGCACTTCCAGTTTCAAAAGTGCAAGGATACAGGAAATAAAAAAATGCCCAATTTCTTCTTCTGTTTGTCTGCCCAGGTCAAACGTAAGTTCTTTGTGTACAATCAACTTTTGAAATGTACTCTTGAATGGTTTTGAAGACTGCTCTTCTAGAGTTCAAGGATTGATTCGGCTAATTCTTTTGATGAAAAGATGGAAAATATGTTCAATGAGACTGAGATGTCAAAAGTCCAGAGCTGCTAGACTATTCACATTATAAACCAATTATTTAATTAAAGTGGTAGCTATGTTGAGGTATTTGTATATTTTAAATATTATTAGCAGCTGGAGAGATGGCTCAGCAGTTTAGAGCACTGGCTGCTCTTGCAGAGCACCCAGGTTGAGTTCCCAGCACCAACATGATGGCTAACAACCGTCTGTAACTCCAGTTCCAGTGATTTAAAACCCTCTTCTGTCCTCCTTGGACTTTGTACACACACATGGCACACCTACATACATGCAGGCAAAACACACATACACATAAAATGAAAATAAATAAATAAAGACTCAGCTGCACAAGGGAATGTTAGAGAACAAACTAACATAGAAGAAAAAAAATTTAAAGACCCTGTTTCTCAAGAAAGGAAAGGTAGATAGTTTAAAATCTCCACCATGAGAAGAAGTTCCAAATTATGAAAGATCTCAGAAACAACATGCAGTGAACAATGAAGCACAGGGCCGTGAGCCAGCTAGAACCTGTGGCATCCTTATTCTGGCCAGACCTTGGACTAGACGCATTGTGTAGACCATCATTTACTCCTTCAAGCTTCTGTGCCATATGAGATTTTTATTCCTACTTTTATGGGTAAAAAAAATGAGGCTCAGAAGTCTTGGGCCTGTGTTCTTTCCATATTAGCCAATATCAAACTTTGTAGTGATATACTTTCCTTCTATCCTTTTGCTTTTTTTCCTTAAAAAGCTGAGTGATTTAACAGGAGTTCTTGGCAGAACAGAAAAAAAAGAGAGAAGTTAGTGTCACCACCCTACTTTAAGAAAAAATGGTTGCCTAATTGGCTTGTCTTTTATTTTGCCTACAGAATTCTACTTTGTGTTACATGGGACTGTGAGTGACTGAGTGGGTTAAGGGATGAAGCAGTAACAGGAAATGAACTTAAAGGCAAATATATGTAAGAATCTTCAATTTAGTTACCACAAACTATATTGAGATGTAGGTGTACTGAATTTCAGTTTTTAATTCTCATTTGGACTAAGGCTTGCAGCTGGTGCATTGCACTAACATTGGGCTTTGAAAACTTGGGGTTCAACCATCCACTTTACTTTTCCCTTTTTAGGTATTATGGATTAGAGGACTATTAGTTTGATTTGGGAGTTAGTTTCTGTGCTACCAAGAGAGAAGAGATTGTGAGAAACAGGATGCTATTTGTTACACAACACAGAATTGAAGGAGATTTTCACATATAAGTCAGAAGTGATACTGGACAATATGTTGACATAAGCAGAGGGAATCAAGACTTGGAATGGGCCAACCTGGACCCAGGTCTGAGTTCTATCCCTAGTACCAATGTCAGAGTGGTTTGCTTGTAGTGACTTTTCTCATCTGCAAAATGGAGAGGATATCAACTTGGGAAAATTATGAGCCCCAAATAAGATAATGGCAAAGTTATAAACTGTTGGGTAATCATAGACACTTAGCAGTTGATAGTATTTTGTCACTTAAAAGGATCAGTAGCAGCTGTCTTCCTAACTGATCCTACTTGGCAGTCAGTGGTTTCCTGGTACTGTATCTTCCTATCTGTCTACAAAGTATTTGCTTTCTGAGAGTTTTTAAAACTGAAACATTGTTCTTTGGCAATCTCAGTTCAGCGGGATATAAAATAGCAGTTTTACAAAGTTGTGTATCTAATAAAAGTGTAGAACAGAGCAGAGGGTGAGAAGGGATGCTAGAGGAGGCAAGCAGAGTATGACTGGGTTGTTAAATCCCTACCCTAACAGTTACCAACTGTGCCTTCATTCCTTATCCATAAAATGGGAGATCAAAGTGACCACTTCCCAGGGTTTTAAGCATTAAATGAAGTAATACACACGCAGTACTATGTGCCTAAAATATAAACGTTATTTAAAAATTATTTATTTATTTTTATTTTATGTGTATATGAGTGTATTGCCTGCATTGTGTAAGTGCACCCATGTCGTGCAATGCCCACAGAGGTCAGAAGAGGGTGTTGAATTCACCTGGGACTGGAGTTACAGATGGTTGTTAGCTGCTGTGTGGATGCTGGGACTTGAACCTGGGTCCTCTGGAAGAACAACCAGTGCTTTTAACTGCTGAGACACCTCTCCAACCCCTATTGTTGAGTATTTTAATTATTGTTATTTTTAGAAGCAAAGATCTTATGACAAAGCCCCCCTCTGATGTGATCAAAGGCCAAGCTATGCAATACTGGACTATGGCAGGGTGGGGTCTAGAGAGCTATGTATCTATTGTACCACACCTACATCATGCCCATCAGCTTCAAACCTTATTATGAATATTGATACTGTAGTTTACAAATCACCTTAATATCTGACTCTCTGTGTGATGTTCATAAAAGCCCCGATGAACACGCAGAAAGAGAATTATGACTTTCAGTCTGTAAGTCAGAAATCAAGACTCAAGTAGGCAGTACTGAGTGGTATCTGTTCATCAAGGCTGTGCTGCTCTTGGTTTTATTCTGTGATGACCAGATCAGTAAATTTCAAAGGGAAATACTTTGAATTTGGGCCAGGCAGCAAGGGGTCTGCTTCACTCCCACCCACTATAATCTCGCTAGTTACTGTTGTATACCCTCGATGCATGCAGTCAGTGCTCTTCAGCCGTTTGGAATATTGTGCTCTCATTGAGCAATTGTTAGTGCCCCTCACCAAGAACAAGATTTGGAAGAGTAAGCCACAGTTCCTGCTGTCAAAATGATTTAGACGAAATGTGAGAACAGGCGGAAAATGACTACAGGAGAGAGGAATGGGAAGATCTCTCAGAGTTAGCATAATGATAGCTAAAGAACTTTTTGTTTTGTTTTCCCCTGGTGGCAGTACAGGACTGTTCTGGAAGAGGTAGATTTTGAGTTAAGCCTTGAAACATGGGGATGACTCAACTGATTTGGTTTCTTCACCCTCAGGGATGCACACAATCTCTTGGTGCACATGGTTTTTGTTTTCCTTCCTGTGAAATTCCCTGCTGGGCTGGAAGGTAATGGGGGGAAACTAGCCCTTGTCTGAGGATGTGCCTCTCACTCTCCAGTGTTGTTCTGTCAGCGCTTCATATTTCTGTCCAGAATGCTTAACAAATAAACGATCATAAGCCTTTCTCCCTCAGACTCCAAGGCATTGCGTGTCATCTTTCAAAGGCATGTATTTCTGTCTAGGATGTTTATTAGCTTCATAACTCATTAAATTATATTAAATTTTGTTTTCAGAATGAATTTTAGCCTGATGACTTCTTTTAACTTTCTTGGGGTTTTGATGTCTATTTCCACAGGATGAATTCCAAATTTACTCTTGGAAAAAGGTAATGTGGATCTCTCTGTCAGCATTAAGCAGCACATTTGGTCTCACTCCTGACCACCCACTTGTTATAGATGAGGAATATATCATAAACAGAGCCATCAGAAAGCCAGATCTAAAGGTATGTAAGCTTTTAAGAGATGCCAGAAATATTTAATTTTTTTTTTGCCACAAATGTAAGGTTAAATTCAGGTCCTCATGATGGTGGCCTCAGCTGAGCGTGCAGAACATCGTGGAGAACATGAACTTGGAAGCCAGGCAGAGCTCAGTTCCAATCTCAGCTTTATCCTTCTCAATAGTAGAACTTTGGAAAAGTTCTGTATTTGAAAACTCAAGTTTTCCTATCTATAAAATGATGATAATGGAATAGAGTATATAGGTTAGAAATAGCACGAGCAAGCCTCTGGGTCTGATTGATTCCAGAACAGAAAGAAAAAAAAAACCCTCTCAATAATATTAATTGATTAAATTCAATACATGAAACAAAAATCAATAGGGTGCCAGTACTTACTTAGTAGGTACTCAGTAAATGTTAGCTCTTAGTAAGCATCATTACCTATTTTATAATGTGTATAACAAGACTAATCTTAGAATAAAAGTAATCACTGAGGAATATTCCAGGGAATTTGCTTATTTCTGCAAAATGACCTTAGTTTGAACTCTAGTTCTTCAGATGTGTTTGAATTACTCACTTTTGTTAAATCAGATTAGAACTGCTTGAATTATGGCTAGTTAACAATTATATTAAACACATTTTATAAACCAGAATGCTTTCTTTGACAGATAGAGAACTGTTTAAATTAGCTTTATGAAAATAATCAAATTTTAAAATAATGAAAGTCAGTTGCTGAGAAGTCTCTCTGTTGTCAATTGTCATCGCCCAGCTCTTTAAACTGCCAACGTAAACAGAAGAGGTGGAATTCCTCCAGGGGCAATGCCTCATCTGTGAGGTAACTCTTCACCTGAGAAAGAGGCTTTCCAGGTCAGCCTTGGACTCGCCTTCAGGGTTTTACTGCCCCAAGATTCTAGAATCTTTAATTGCATCCAATAAATAAGTAAAAAGGCAAATGAAGAAATTCTCAAATAAACAAACAGAATTCGTGGAAGGGCAGAGGTCTTAAAATGGCAAGTTCTGATATCCAGTCTTGATGTCTCTGTTTATAACACCTTAGTACAGAGGGAGTTCGACTAGTTATTGCCTCCTTGAGTCTTAAGTTTCTGATTTATAGAATGAAAGTCATAGTTCTCATTCTGCATGTGCATCAGGCCTTTTATAAGCCTCACATATTGAGTTGGATATTAAGGTGATTTGTGAACTACAATATCAATATTCATAATAAGGTTTGAAATTTTCATTACTGTTAGAGATGTCAGATTCAGCTATGATGACATTGATGGAAACTGAAAAAAAAAAAAATCCCAAGGTGATAATCATTTAGGATCTTTACAGAACTAAGATGGGTTTTCAAACACAGATGAAAAGGGTTATTTTGCAGGATTGCACGCAGAAAGGTAGTCCAGAGTTCCATTTGCTAGGAAGATGCTCTTACATATTCTAAAGAAATGAAGAGCAGGAAGCCTGGGGAGACTAACTATCCCCGATTCCTGAGCAAAAACGTGAAAGTCACCTCACAACAAGAGGCTCAATTTCTTAGCTGCTATCTCCTGGTGACAAGTTCCAGGAAATGGCAAATAAATTCCTCCTCTTGCAAATATTCTGTTTAACATCCTTTGCTAGCTTTCTGGGGCTCTATGAGAAGCAGATAAACTCTAGGCAGAGATACTTCCTCCTGGGACAATCTCAAAGATGCCCAAAAGCTCTGTCAGAGAGTTCTGCCTTTCACCAGAAGGAATAGTGAACTCTCCAGCCAGCAACCTCTTCATTCCTCACTGGTGCTGGCTTGGCCTGTGGATGCTCTGCGTCTGTTAGGTTTTCTGCTTCTCAAACTATGGTTTGGTATGAACTGAGCAGGGTTTCACGTTCTGCCACAGTTTGTCCCTTAAAACATTTCCAGTATAGATTACCAAGTTTATGGACTTGAGAAAGTAGCAACCCTCACTTGATGTATCTGGAATTCTAAAGTTAAGGATTTTTGGGACTTTTTTTCTGAGGTCAGCTTGAATTATATCTTGTGAGAGAGCACACTGGAGCCTGAAGTACTGGAGTCAAGATACTAGCCTTGTGAATGATGTAATCAAAATGAATTTCAGACGCAAAGCCGATACCTGGCCGGCTTCAGGAAGATGAAGAAAACTGATGATAATGTGTGATAAACTCTGAAATAATGAATAGTAGCTGTGTCTAGTAGCTCTATTTGCAAATTTTCAGGGAATGCTGAAGAGGAATTTAAGTTGTAAAGCAAGAAATTCAAGATTCCAACATGGGCTGTGTTGACTAGCAAGCGGTCAGAGTTGGTTATTTTAGTCTTTCCTACCTCTAATTGATAACTTATGAAGGAAATGTTATTTTTAGTGACAATTCACTCCAATGTCATACTGAAAATCAATTGGAAATAGACGTTTTCAAATAATTTCTTTAGTAACCAACCTCATAGAAATAAATTAATTCTGAAGAATTTTTACAAATTACTACATTTAACACTTTTTTAACTTGGCTACTATTGAGTTGAGTGTGTATGTGTGTCTGTGTGTGTGCGTGTGCTACATGCTTTACTGGGTAGAATTACAATTTCTTAGAGATTCAAACTGCATTCGTAGTTGACATGTGCTGTTAGAAAGCATTCATTTATTCAACAAAAATGTATTGAACATTTTTATTATGTACCAGCTACATGCTTTCTCCAATTTTAGAATTTACCTGGTGATTTATACTGACTACAAAATTCCTGGTTGTAGAATATATAGAAAGGAGCTGAATGGAGCTTATATATAATCTGGCCAATTGCTTCAATTTATTCCTGGGGAAACTGAGGTGCAGGGAAAGTTTGTGAAGACACAACTAGCAGATTAGCCATAAAAGGAAGCCTTGGACAGTGTTTCTGGACTTAGAATTATCTGAGGAAATTTAAAAATATTTATGTTCAAGGTGCCCTGCAGACAAATTCAATCTCTTGCCCATGGGAACCACCCCCCATTTTTTTGTTGTTGTTGTTGGCTTTGAGATAGGGACTCTTTTTTATTGATTTTTTTTGTGTGTATTTCATACAGAATATCTCATAGAACTGGGAAAATGAAGGGCAGACCCCAATCTTATTTAAAAGAATGTTGGCAAGTGATTACTGTTAAATAAAGAAGAGCTGATCTTTCTAAAACAAGGGACTCTAGACAGGCTGACTAGACCCAGCAGTATTTTTTAAAGGTTCTATAGATGCTGCAAATCGCTCCACAGCAAATGAAAGTCTCATTGTTTCTCTTTGTGCTTAGTGCTGTGACTAGTTCATGGAAATTTGTATCCTCCTTTCCTTCTTGCTGCCAGCACCCTCAGAGTCAGCTTCCTGGAGTACGTTTCCTTGTGATAACCTCTTCTTTCTCCATGCTGCTGGCCTGCTCTTTTTCACTGCATCTTCTGTAGTGAAATCCATCACCTGTGAGATAAGGACCTCCATACCTCCTTCCAGCACTTAGGCTGTTCAAGATGCAGCTTAATTCAGTTCACCGTCCCAGCTTTATTCTTCATCCTGAAGAGACATAAGGCTATTATCTTGCCACTTCCCCTCAAGTAACTTGTGCACAATGTCTTTGACTTGCCCTCTCCTCCTCATCTGAGCAAAATTCTTTCCATCCTTTAACACCATAGATCCAATGTGATTTCTTCCATGATGCCTTCTGTCACCTGTCTTCTCTTATTTTAAGACAACGTTTTTACAACTATATTTGTACTTCTTTGACATTTGTACATATGGGACCGTAAAGGATGATTTTCTATTTTGGATTATGTTTTGTTTCCTTATTAGTTTGTAAGGTAGTGGAACGTAGATACTGAGTTTTATTTATTCATATATTTATCTGTATAGTAGGCCCCTGAAACATGGACTGAGTGATGTTTTCTAATAAGAATGCCATTTGTATAGTAGAAAAGAATAGGATAGAAAGCCAGGAAAAGGCAAAAATCCTAAGACGTGTTTATGGCTCTTTGTTTCTTCCGCAAATGAGTCCTCAGCCTCTGAAATGTTGTGCATGGTCTAATCCTCAAAATTTAGACTTTCTTAATACGTTCTTTTGTAGGTGAGATACATAAAAGTACAGAAAATAAGATATGTTTGGAATAACTTTGAAGAACAATTCCAAAAAATTGGGTAAGTTATTTTATCAAGTATATCCAAAGAAGAAAAGTCTCATCTTAAAAGTCTTATTGCTAAATGTACCATTTTTATTATTATTTTAGCTCCTTGGAAGACTGGCTCAGTTCTACAAAGATACATGTAAAATTTGGATCAGGTCTAACAACAGAAGAACAAGAGATTAGGTACTATGTGGGTTGTGCCCATATTAGCTCAAAGGGCTGTTCTTAGTTATCCAAATGGCCCAGGAAGTGATGTTAATTCAGTAACATCAGAAAAGGTTGCATGGACTGATTTAGCCTTTTCCATGCATTACTTCACATATCTTTAGAGCAACCTTTTTTTTGGAGTGTGGGGGGTTAGGGTGGGTAGAATGGGCATAATTGTGAACCCAACAGAACAGATATGAAATCAGGCTCACAGAGGTTTAATGGCTTGAACAAGGTCACACAGATGGGGAGACACAGAGGAAGAACTGAGTCTCGTCCTTCTGATGCTAAGGTTGGTACACACTTTATTCTATACAGTGCTTTTCCAGGTTACTTTCAAAATAGGGCTGAGTCAATTTTAGTGTGATCAGGAATACACACACCATTGTACAGTTAGCACCCAAACAGCTTCAGAACAATGTCATGCTGAGTTTGTAGTTCCACAATTCCAAATTAGTTCCTAGGCATAGAAACAAAGTTTAGTGATGGCACTGAAATGTCCAGAGTCTATGTGGCTCTGAACAAGTATCTTTTCCATTTGGATCTCAATTTTCTAGTCATAGACAGTGGAGAAAGGGGCTGGAGAGATGGCTCAGTGGTCAGGAGCACTTGCTGCTCTTTCAGAATTTGGACCGTTAAGTGCCCATGCTGGGTAGCTCACCACTACCTGTAACCCCAGCTCTGGAAGTCTGGAAGACCCAATTCCCTCTTCTGGCCACCATGGGTACCTGTACACACTACACACACACACACACACACACACACACACAGAGGCACACAGACACAGACACACACACACAGACACACACAGACACAGACACAGACACACACACACACACACACAAACAGACACTCCTTAATTAAAGGGGTGAGGGGAAGGACACTATAAAGTACTTGCTTGTCCCGAGTATCTAGGATTCTTACACTCCCTTCCACCCACTCATAGTACTTGGAAGAGACCCAGAGCATTGCAGCATTAGTATTAACTGGTAGCTTGTTAGAAATGTAGATCTTGCTGGGTGTGGTGGCACATGCCTTTAATACCAGTACTTGGGAGGCAGAGGATTGTGAGATCAAGGCTAGCCTGGTTTACATGGTGAGTTACAGTTACAGGCCTACTGGAGCTACAGGGTTTCCCTGTCTCAAAAAGACCAAGAAACACAAAAAATAAACAAATAAAAAAAAGAAAAAAAATGAAAGAAATGTAGATTTCAGAACACACTTTACCCCTAATCAGTCTGAGTCTTCATTTTAGTGAGATCACACAAATTGTATGTATTTACATTAAAGACTAATGAATTCAGCCAATGCTGTTTGGTGGGAGGGCCTACATGGAAGTCACAGAGAGTGGTTAGTGTTTTCTGCCAAAGGAAGGCTTCATAAACTGCCATTCACTGCATAATCAAAGTAATGCCCCTCCGGGGCTTCAGTTAGAGTGATGTATGATTCTGTGTGCTGAGCTACTTTTGAGACCCCAGGAACTTTTCACACACATTAAAACAAACTGTGCAGCATCACCAAACTTCTAAATATAAGTTAAAAATAGGTACAGTATTTCCTGTCACCAGAATGATTCTCCCTGCATGATCCTTGTCATACTTCTGTGGAACTGGCATTGGGGAGACAGAGCTGAGAACATATCAATTCTAAGAGTATTTGAGGGAGACAATTGACAGCACTAAATACCCAATTACCATTTAGAGAAATATTTGATCTGAGGAGAGCCCAGTTCAATGGAAACAACATGATCATGTTTACAATTTTGTGCCTGGGACCCCTCTCACTCTAGTTATTTTGAGATGGATAGGTATGCTATGTAACAGGAGACCACTTAGATTGACCCTAGAAGTCAGAAAAGGAACGTGAAATAGACCTTTTCTCTGAATGGACAGGAAATGAGTGATTTTTTCTACCATTTTGACAGTGATCTGTGGTCTCTCCCTGTAGGAGGTTAATATGTGGGCCTAATGCTATTGATGTTGAAATCACACCTATCTGGAAACTGCTCGTCAAAGAGGTAATTTGCCCAGTATTTTGCTTTGGTGTTGGAGAGAAAATAATGCAGCTTTAGTCTAGTCAGCTGGGGATGCTACTTGTTAATAAGTGACTACAGTTAACAAGTTGCTTTAAAAGAATGTCAGGCATACTTTCTTGCTATCGCTCATGTGTTCTTACCTTCAAGTTCTTTATGCAGGCGTGACAGACAGGTGTTCACTTATTATTTGATGACTTGGATGAATGCTATAGTTCTTTTCATTTTCTAATACTGTGATGCTTAGCCCATTTCAAGTCTTCCAACCTAAAATTTTATTTATTTTATGAAAAAGAATCATTTCCTTAGGGAACATATACAATTAACTCAACATTCAAAACTGTAGGGAGAAAACCATATTTGGTCAGCCTTGTAAGTTCTATTGACCTCAATGCATGTATAAGGGGAAAGAAGGGCTTTACCATTATTTACTAAGCTAAAATTTTCATCTTGGATGCTATAGTTTGTAAACCATGTAACAGTACTCTGGATATTTCTGCTATTTCATCCCCTTTCCTCTTTGACTTAAAAAGGCTTCCTAAGTTCAAGTTTTTCAATACTTCCACAAGTTTTCAAGACAAACTGATGAGGAAAGATGCTGTGAGCGTCTTCCTCAGGTGGAAGTCAAGATTCCTGTTTCTCTTTTAGACATAAAGTAATCAATTAGAAGAAATTTGAGTAAGGGCATAAAATATTTTTAGCCAAAGCAAGATTACAATAGTTGATGTTGGTATCTATTCTCTTTCCCAGTATTCCAGATGTGTGCTTATAGCTGATCATTTTAGCTCAGCTCTCCACATATGAAAAAAACGTAGTCTTATACTCATCTATTAACAAAAAGTTCTTTAATGGCATCATGTGTGGCAGCTGTTTTGTCTTAGAGAGGCGCAATAGACAAAGTATTTTAACTTTTTAAACCTTATGTTACCTCTGAATGCCAGGGAAATGTACAAGGGAGATGACAACATCTACTCTTGAATAACTACTGTGATATTCAATATGATGAAATGTGAAGAATTCCTTTATAGATTGTAAAGTGCAGCAGTGATTAAAATGAGTGCTTTGAGTCAGAGCATTTGAAGGATTTAAGTCTTGACTCCATGACCATCATAGCTGGTGACCTTGAGCAAGTTTCTCAAGATCTGAAGTTCCATGTCCTTATTTTTATAGCAGTGATATGTAGCAACTTCTGGTTAGGCAATTATGGGAATGAATTGTTTAGCACAGTATCTGGTAAATGGCTTGTATTAGTCACTTTTCTGTTGCTGTGATAGAAACACTGACCCAAGCAATTTATAGAAGGAAGAGTTTATTTGAGCTTATGGTTCCAGGGGAATTACAGTCCATCATGGCAGGGAGGCATGGTGGTTGGAGGTGGCTGGACCAGGAGCAGCAGAAGCTAAGCTCTCACATCATCACACAGGCACAGGAAGCAAAAGAGCGACTGGAGATCTGGCAAGGCTTAAGAACTCTCTAAGCCCACCCCCAATGACATGCTTCCTCCAGGATAGCCACACCTTCTAAAACGTCCCAAAACAGTGCCATCATCTGGAGACAAAATGTCCAAATACTTGGAGCCTATGGGGGACATTTTCATTCAAACCACCACATGGCTATTGCTGATTAAATATAACAATAAGAAGAATAACTTATTGTGTGGGATGATTTGTGTCATGGTGCTGATTATGAAAACAAGTCATTAGTCAGTCATGTGCAAAGCCTTAATACCATTCTTGTCTTCCTGTCTTTATGTGTGCCAACAGGTTCTAAATCCATTTTACATATTCCAACTCTTCAGTGTCTGTTTGTGGTTCAGTGAAGATTATAAGGAATATGCTTTTGCCATTATCCTCATGTCTGTCATTTCCATAGCTTTGACGGTATATGATCTCAGACAGGTGAGTTTCCCTCAATCCTGTGGCTCAGCAAGGGAGCAATAGTGACTTCACTCACATGTTCTTAGAAAAGAAGAATCATGAACTAGTCATTGCCTGGTCCATATTAAATGAGAACAACTTTGTGAAAATATAACACAGTTGGCAATGCTCTGTTGGTGAGTCCTTTCCCTTCATGCACAGCACAGTCTTTAGTCTTTCAGAAAGTGGAGGACTCTCTTTTTAATATGAATTCCTTTGACCTTTATGTTTGAATGGTGCCCATTTATCAAAACTCCAGTTCAACTCTTGGATTTCTTTATGCCTATAGCAGGGAGCCAAGGCACTGTTGGAAGAAAACCATGTGGAACAGATGGGTTGATCACACTGAATCCACAAGTGCCAACCTGTTCTGGGCAAGCCTTCTTCTGTATTTCCGAAGAAGGCGTTCTCCTACTCTCTGAGATTAGGTTTCAAGCCATCTCTCCTCTGGTTTCTGGGATGCTCATCTTTCCATTTGCTTTCTTTTTTTTCTTAGCAGAAAATCTTGCTAGTTATTTTACAACGCCGACCCACGCTTTCTCACCTTCTTGGAGTGCTTATTCAGTTCACAAATGCCTCCTCTCTCCTTCCCTGAGCCTTATAATCAGTGTTTAACACTCTTTAGCTTCTTCAAATTAAAAAAGTAGCTCAGACAAAGGATTTTCCCCCTTGACCATGCATCTACCTCCAGCTGCCACTGTATCTTCTTTTTACTGCAAATTTTGATTCTTCATGCTCACTTTTATCACTTAAACATCTTTCTTTCAGTTTTTACTTTCCGACATGAGTTCCCCTCTCCTGATTTTATTTAAACAACTCTTCTTGAGACCTCCTAAAGCCAATACGTAGTTTGAAGTGAAAAATGTTTTCAAATTAGCTGTTAAGTTTTCCTTTGTAAAAGGAGCAATATATGGACATGCTAAAAATAAATTTCAAGTAGAACCAAACACTGTAAATGAAAACAAGTTTCTTTCCATTTCCAGTGCCAAGGGTGACTTATAGGACATACTGGGGCCGGATGTTCTTTATACAGCATTAAGTGCATATGCATTAATTTGTTTTACAAATGGGCATATGCTATGTGGACTATTTTGCAGTTGTATTTTTATTTAATATATCTTGAATATTGTTCTATAGCGGCACAAATATTTCTCTAGATCTAACACCGTTTTACAAGTCAGTTTTATGCTGGCTATTTTAACTATTGATAGACACAGGTAATTTCTGGTCTTCTGCTTCTAAAACAGAGCTGTAATGAGAATCTTTGCCCATAAAACTTTTCATACTGTACATTTATAGTAACATGTTACATCTAAACATGTATACAGCAATTATATGTATGCTTATAGTATGTATATTTGTATGTATAATTAATTTGAAGAAGCTATAGAGATATAAAATTTCTGAAAATTGGAAATAGTCACAAGTTAGGTATACTGTTTTGACTTTTTCATTGAATTTTTGCAAATTTCATGCAATACATTTTGATCTTATTTTTATTTTATGCATATGAGTGTTTTGCCTACATGTATGTAAGTGTACCATGTGCATACAATGCCTGCAGATACCAGAAGAGTGTGTCGGATCCCCCGCAACTAGGGATATGGATGGTTGTTAGCTGACATGTGGGTCCTGGGAATTGAACCTGGGTCCTCTGGAAGAACAAGTATTCTTAACCACTGAACCATCTTTCCAGCCCCATTTTGGTAATATTTAGATACCCTCTTTTATCTTCATCCCCTTCCAACTCCCCATCCAATGCCATTTTAGGTACATTATTTTAATGCATATTGTCAAAAAAGTCTTCCTAACAGTGTGGGTTTCCCTTATCTTTGCTAGTTTAAGTAAAATAGAATTCTGTCAACTTAATAGCATATTTTGGTTATGAGTTACGTATTTTTTCATGTTTTATTTATTTTTCTTTCACTATGAAGTATTTGTATCCTTTATCACTTCTTACTGGAGTGTTGAGTTCTGTTTACTGATGTGGTCCTCCACAGCAGGTGCTTCCCCCTACAGTCCATCTTACTTAACTTCTCCATCTTTCTGAAGCACTCTTCACCTTTGACCTCAGTGACAGCATGTTCCCATCCTTTCCTCCTGTTCTTTCCCACTGTCTTTGCTAGCTCATCCTCCTCTACCTGGACTTAACTTTTTAGCTGGGTGCATTAGATCAACACTGTATGAAAACTCACATAGTGTAAATGCTCTTTCTCTTTCCCTCCAGGAGGACAGCTACTTTGTTAGCTTCTTGGACATTCTTTAAAATTTTTTAGTTAGAGGAAGCAAACACATGTGTCTTATTTTTCTTTCTCATTCAAATGGTGCACAGTGATTTTTTTCCCCTTGCTTATTTAGGAAAACTATGAGTTTGTCTCGAGGCTGTTTTTACCTGAGGGCATGAGAGAATCTTCATTACTTTTTATAGTGGTACTTATCAATGACTTCTAAAGCGTTTGCTAGTGACTTTCAGAGTTCTAGATATAGCTCAATTCCAACGATCACTGTGGAGATCCAGACTCATAGACTGAATTACCTTTATATCCAAAACTTACCTCAAATTCAACGTGGAACTACAAAAATTTCCTCTCCAAATCAGCTCTTTAGGTTAAGTTGATTTGATGAGGTCCATCACTGACCATTCAGTTCATAAACTGGAAATCTGACTGTCGCCCCTGAAGCTTCCTTTTTCTTCCTTTTGAACCATGTAGCAAGTCTTGCTGGTTTTCTTTCTTAAAGATTTGTTAACATCATTCACTTTTCCCTATATTACCACTACTGTGGTTCGAATTACCATCACCTCCTGTTTGGCAATCATCTTCTGTCTCATGTTCATGTGTTCATTCTTGACTCCCCTCACCCTCTCACCATGCAGCAGGATCAGCCATGGTTTTAAAAGATAACCAGAACATGATTGTTCCCATACTGTTAGCATTAACAAAGCTTTTCCTTTGTTGCTCTTACAACAAATAACTCCCCTCACCCTCTCACCATGCAGCAGGATCAGCCATGGTTTTAAAAGATCAACCAGAACATGATTGTTCCCATACTGTTAGCATCAACAAAGCTTTTCCTTTGTTGCTCTTACAACAAACGTGGACTACGGGTGTCAATGGCACATCAGTGTGGCACACCAGTGACAACAGACGTACCAGTTTGCTGCAGGTGTCCATAGTGGGGAAGGTGGTGGATTGTGGATTCAGGTATATACAAGAACTCTGTATGGGGGCTAGAGAGATGGCTCAGCAGTTAAGAGCGCTGACTACTCTTGCAGAGGACCCAGGTTCGATTCCCGGCACCCACATGGTGGCTATGAACCGTCCTAACTCCAGTTCCAGGGGATCCAAAGCCCTTTTCTGACCTCTGTGAGCACTGCATGACACAGGTGCACTTACCTACATGCAGGCAATACACTCATACACCAAAATAAAAATAATAAATAAAATATTTTTAAAATTACCTCATTCTATAATAATATAAATGTATTTTAAAAATTTACTTTCTGAAATGGAAATATTTGAGAAGAATGCAGTATTTTACATTTTTTGCAATTTTTTTTTAATGTTTGGCCGAGCAGAAGTCATTTAAATTCTCATAACTGCTTTTACACTTAATCTCCTATGACAGTGAAGATCATTTGGCCCCTGGAAAACTCTATACCTGCGACTTAGCTCTGCCAGGAGAAGGTCTTGGAAACCCTGAGGCAGCCCCAGGCCAGCCTCTGAAGACTACAGCTCCTCCCAAATTTGAGCTCTAAGTCTTGCATATTGCACTTGCTCTTCTTTATTTCTCCTGCCTTGATTTACCCAACCTTTTTGATTCTAGCCACACTAGTCTTCCCCCACCCCCACCCCCTAGGGCTACAGAACACTCAGGCCTGTCACTTGGAATTGTCCTTTCTTTAAGTCTATGTGGTTTGCAGGAGTCCAATTGAATAAGTAATACTATTCATGTCTTAGCCCAATGTCACATCTTACATTCAAGAATTCCATTAATTCTTTTTGCTATATATTCTCCAACAGCAACTGATTTTCCTTCTTACTATAGTATATATTTAGGCATGTGGTTATTTGATTAAAATATATTTCTTTCTGTAAATTCCTTTCCAATAGGAGCCATAGTCCTGTTGTTTTCCATTCTATCTCTTAACATGCATAGGAAAAGCTGCCCAGTAAATATTTGTTGAGTGAATGAACACATGCATAAGAGGAGAATGAGTTAGTAGCAAAACTCTCTTTGACCTTATCCTATTCTGATAATTATTCTTAGGTCATACTTATCAGATTTATAAATAATTTAGGGAGTTTCTTTAAAAAATTCTCTGTGTAATGAATTTTAGTCATTTTCACTTCCCCATTATCCTTTCTTTTTAAAAAACATTTTATTATTTTTTATTTCATTTTATGTGTATGCGTGTATTGCTTGCATGTAGGTAAGTGCACCCATGTTGTGCAATGCCACGGAGGACAGACGAGGCCGTTGGATCCCCTGGAACAGGAGTTACGGGCAGTTGTTAGCTGCCATGTGGGTGCTGGGATTCAAACCCGGGTCCTCTGCAAGAACAGTCAGTGTTCTTAACTGCTGAGCCATCTCTCCAGCCCCCACCATGACCCTTTCTTATTCCCCTCCTCCCACTGAAACCTTACTTCTTCCCAACATGGCCCCTTCCCATTTTGAGAGAGAGAGAGAGAGAGAGAGAGAGAGAGAGAGAGAGAGAGAGCCAGCCATTGAGTTTAATTATTATTGCTTGCAAGAGCAGGGGTTGTGGGTTATTTATTGGAGCCTGTCAGTGGCTTCACCACTGAAGAAAATGATATTCCTTCCTCCGGCACCATTAACTACTCAGTCCCTCTGGGAGAGGTGTGTTCTCATAAGCTCCTCCCTTTAGGGACTGTCTTAATTGACAATGGCAGGATAAACTAATCAAAGTCTGAAATGATTGGAAAAATTAACTCTTCCTTGTACTGATTTGTTCTTAATGTTCCATGTATTTCCTGTATCAGAACAACAAACTCTAAAAGGAAGCATCAGGAATCACTAGACTCTTTATACAGTTATGGACTAAGAACTCTGAGTTATGATAATTTAAAGAAGAAATAATGTGTAGTTCTTAGAGCCATTTCAGTATAAATACATGTTGCTTGACAGATATTCTTGACATTAGTCACCTACTAAATGAACTGTACCAAAATTGTGATTTTCAAGACCTCTTTTGGGTGGAAAGAGTACATTAGGGAATTCCCTTGTGTTATAGGAAACATACTTCCAGTTGCTTGGCAGAGAACCTTTCATAAATAGCAGACTTGTGTTTTCAGCCAGGACCTTCAGCTGGCAGTGTGACAGTGCTCCATGTTGGAAGACTGGCATTGTACTGAATAATACCTGGGGTCCATACTCAAACAGATAACCCTTTTCTGTTTTTCTTCTTTTTGCAGCAATCTGTAAAGGTGCACCATCTAGTTGAATCACACAACAGCATCACAGTCTCTGTATGTGAGAGAAAAGGTAAGTTCCATTATTTTATACTTATATGTTAGTTATCCATGGGAAAGTAGAAAATGACAAATTTACTTTTCTGATCGCTCTTACTACTCTGTTCTGTACATGCATTATAAGAAAAAGGAATTTGACATCTTTTCATTGTAAGGAGGAAGCCTACTCTATTGAAGCTGAATTAACATGATGAGCTAAATATATCTATAGTACGCAATTTGATAAGTTTTGATATATGTGCACATTTGCACACTCATAAAAGCATCACTGCGATTATGATACTAGTTAGCATCCTCAACGGCTGTCTAGAGTCTGCTTGTGGTCCTTCCTCCTCCTTTGCCCCCCTCATACACAAACAGTTGTTTTTCTGCTTTCTGTTGCCAGATTAACATCTCTATTTAGAATTGTGCATAAATGCTATTGTATGTGATTTTTGCCTTTTATAATATACTTTGGATTAATTTGGCAGAGGGAGAGCAAAGTTCGTGATTATTTTAAGACTTACTCATTTTGTTAAGAGCATTAATAGTATATTCCTTTTTATTTCTCAAAGCACCCCATCAGGTGGGTGTACATTTGCTTATCCATTCACCACTGATATTTGGGTTACCACATTTTTAAATTGCAAATCTTCCTGCCATGAACCTGTAGAGATAGGTCTTTTAATAGCCATGCTCCCTTATTCCTGTGAGCAACTATTCAGTTGTAGAGTAGTTGACTCTATGGTAGACAGGTGCTTAACATTTTCAGAAGCTGACAGATTGTTTTCCAAAGTGGCTGATGACTTGCACTCCCACCAGCTGCACATGGCAGTCTCAGTTGTCTGTATTCTTGCCCATGCTTGGTATCGTCAACCTATTGTTTTAGTGGCTTTCATTTGTGGAGTATCTCATTTTCATTTCTTTAATGACTAATGGCCTTGGGCATCTTTTCAAGGGTTTATTTGTGACTTGTATGTCATTTTTGAAGTATCTGTTCAAATCTTTTGCCAACTTTTTTGTAATTAAATTTTCAGTCTTATATCAGACATTTTCTTTCAGCCAGTCTCAATCTCTTCACAGCATCTTTCAAAGGGTGGATGTTTTCACTTTTCTTTTTTTAAAAATTTGTTTTTATTGAATTTTTGTGTATTTCATACAGAGCATCTCAAACAATCTTAATCATCTTTATACCCTGCCCCCACTGGCACCCTCCCATCCCCCCGCACTGGACCCCATATAGTCTGTCATCTGTGTTAAGGCTCACTGTGTCAAGTCAGTGTCCCCAGACGTTCCTCAGTGCAAGTCCATCCACTGAGGTCTAGTCAGCCCATCTAGAGTCCCTTGTTTTAGGAAGACCAGCTCTTCCTCGCCTAGCAGTAATCAGCTGTCAATATTTCTTCAGCTAAGATTGGGGTTTGATGTTCATTTCTCCAGTTCTATGCTGGGTGATTGTCTGCTTGAGTTTGCATTGAACTTGCGTATGCTGACACCATTGCCATAGAATCCTATGAGCAGGTTCCCAGGAGCTCGTAGGACTCTGTTTCTATATGGTCATGCAGTCTTTCTGCCCACTCTTCCTCCATGGTCCCTGAGCCCTGGGTTGGTGAAGGTTAATATAGAAGTCCTGTCCAAGGACCAGCATTCTGCAGACTCAATCTCTTTGCTTTGAATGATGAATGGATCAAAGGAGAAATTAAGAAAGAAATAAAAATATTCCTGGCACTAAATGAAAAGGACAATACAACACAACAAAACTTCTGGGACACTTTAAAAGCAGTTCTAAGAGGGAAGTAAGTCTAAGTGTCTACATTAAAAAAAAAGAACACAAATAAATGACTTAACTTTGCAACTCAAGACACTTGAAAGGCAACAACAAATGAAGCCAAAACCCAGAAGAAGAGGAGACATAACAAAAATCAGAGCAGAAATGAATGAAATAGAAACAAAGAAAAACAATACAATGAATGAATGAGTCTAAGGGCTGGTTCTTTGAACAACTTACACTTTTTAAATGTTCTTTACCCCTAGGTGTGACATCTTCTTAGAAATGTGGAGCTCTATATATAAATTACTTTAATAAATTGTGCTTTAATGTCAGCCAGAATAATTCTGTGCATGGTTATGCCAACAATTTAGTTGGTTCATTTCACTGATTTGCATTAGAATTTTAGGGTTAGTGTTTTAAATTTATTTTTGTTTCATTTTACCCAGATATTCTGAAAAGCATCTACCTGGTTTAAAAGTGAAAACAAGATGGAAGATATCCAGAGGAGTCTGGCTTCTTTCCCTCTCCTTTCCTCTTTGTGTCTTCATTTTCTCCATGATAATCACTTTTGTTAGTTTTTTATTTATTCTTAAATCTATAGTATAAACAAGTTACAAATAGGGTAATAGTTGTGTACTAGCCATACAAAATAGGGTGCCTACTTAAACTGCAATAATCTTTTAGATTAAACAAGGGCATGCCAAACATTTGACTCTATTTCCTGTAGTGTGTATTTCACACACTTGTGTTTCTAGGGACCATTTTATAGCAGCGTATACATATATTTCTCATTCCTGTGTCAGTGCGTAGACCTCTCATCTGGAGAAACCATTGTTAATTCAGTTGATCCTCTGTTGAATATTTTTTGTCTCTTACTCTTATAAATAGTGCTATAAAAATGATTTAGAAAGCTTTTCATCAGTGTATCTTTGGTATAGATTTTGAGCATCAGAATTACTAGAGAATAAATGCATGTGTACTTTTCTAGATAAATACTGCCAAACTTCTTTCAGGAGAGATTGTGCCAGTTTGCATTTAGATTAGAAATGGGTGAGTGCCTGATTCCTCACAGCCTTGCTAACAGAATATGCTGGCAAATTACTTATTATTCTCGTCAGAGAGATGAACAGTGTTACCTCATGTATGTATATTTGTCACCCCCCTTCTTTTTACTAAGTAATTTAAAATGTGCAGAAAAGTTGCAAGAGTAGATCAAATACTTTTTTCCAGAATTACTTAAGAATAGATTGCTTGAGCTGGGGAGATACCTCAGTGTATAAAGTGCTTGCCACACAAGTGTGAGAGCTGGTGTTCATATCTTCAGAATCCACATAAAAGCTGGGCACCTGGGCAGCTACCCGTAAGTCCAGCACTCAGGAGGAAGAGACAGGATCCCTGGGGCAAGCTGGCTACTCAGACTACTCAGAATCTGAGAGCTCTGGATTCATCAAGAAACCCTGCCTCAATAAACAGTTAAGAGTAATGAAGAAAGACACTTGATATCAACTTTAGGCCTGTGCATACACACATACACATATGCACATGTATCCATCCATAGGAATACAAACACATATGCACAAATATATGCACACCATACATACATACACACAAAAAAGAAAAACATGATTTCCACAAAATTTACCGTGGATACAGTAATTACATACAGATTAGGACATTTTCCTGAGCAAACCACAGTGTAACCAGGAAGCTGTTACTGACACGTGCTAACAATTCCTGGTGAAGTCTTACTCATGCCTTCTCAGTAATGTTCCTCCTAGGGAAGGGATCCAGGATCGCACGATGGTGGTGTTTGCTGTTTCTTTACCATTTTTCAATTGTTTCTTCCATGACCTTGGTTTTCCCACTCTGGTTATTTTGTAAAAATGTCCCTAAGTTTGGATTTGCCTGCTGTTTTCTCACTGTTAAATTTTAGTTATGCTTTGCTGTTGTTCCCGATAAACCACAGACATGATGGTGTGTGTGTTTTCATTGCTTTCATTGTACGTAATCTAAATTTGTTCTATTCTTGGTGATATTAACTTGGATTACTTAACTAAATGGTGTCTGCCAGGTTTTTCCTTTATAAATTTGATCCTTTCCCCTCTGTAATTAATAGTTATCTTGTTGAAAAATAGTTTGAGACTACATAGATTATGTTCATCAAATTTTTTGCCCACTAGTTTTAGTACCCTCTGGTGTTTCTTAACTAAATTATTACTTTTATACTTGATAAATCTTGATTTTCTAATTTGACCTTTAAATTATTTAATTGCCATTTTGTTGCAAGGGAAGTATATTTTTCTTCTCATTTATTTGCCCACCAACCTATGTTATTATGGATTATGAAGCCTTGTCTTTACAATGGCTATATTGATATAATGGCTTCATTATTATTTACTTTGTTAATTTTTTCTTAAATAATTTTTTAATTTTTTCTTAATAATATCATTTTTTATTTTTTATTTTTTCTTAGTGAAATCATTTTTTATTTATTTTTTTCTTAATGAAATCATTAAAAATATTTTTCTTAATGAAATCTTTTATTTTTTTATTTTCTTAGTGAAATCATTTTTTCATTTACTTTGCTAAAATTTTTGCAGGCTTAGGCAGCGAAGCCCCTATGCTGGCTTTGATAGCTTCCTTTTATATGTGCATCATTCTCTGAACATTTCCTTACTTAATGACACATGTTTCCCAGTTGATGCCCTACTTTTCTTGGCCCAGACTTGTGACCAGCTGTTTCTTTAGGAAATCTTCATTTTTTTGAGAGGGGGGTGTTATGGAGTTGAGAAACCAAAATTTGGGTATACAGTGCACTTATCACAAGGGCTTCAGGGCTCTTATGCTATCTCAGAGGAAAGAATTAGAGAATATATGTAAAAACAAATAGACCAGCAGCCATATTAAACGTGAATATAGTCTCATATACTTACATACTATATGGTTATCACTTTAGTACTGTATAATACCTCCAACTCTAAGCCCTGGGATCCTTGAAAGGTTTATCTCTTTCTGTACATGGAACTCTATGCTATGAGAAGCCTGGTTCTCACTGACTTCAGTGAATCTGCTTACCATATCAGCCAGCCTGGAGGTAACTGATCTTCCATCGCTGCTGATGCTTCCACTATGCCAAGCCTCACTCACTCCTATGTCAACACCTTTCCCACCTGCATGGACCCAGGCATCTCACAGCAGGCCACTGCCACTGTGGCTCTGTGTCTCTTACTTGGGCTCTGCTTGTCAGGACCGAGGCCATGAACACAATCTTCCAAACCACCTAGATTCCAACACCCCCAACAGCCTTCATTCTACCTCCCTAGACACCCACAGAGGTGCCATCTTAATTTTATTTCCTGTGGCTGTGACAAAAGCAACTTAAGGGAGAAACAGTTTATTTGGCTCACAGTTCAGGGTACATCATTGGAGGGGAGTGAAGACAGCAGGAACTGGATACAGCTGGTCATGCCACATTCACAGCCAAGAGCAGAGCACAATGAATTCACGCATGCATGTGTGCTGGTGCTCAGCTACCCCCTCCCACTCACTCAGCCCAGCCTATGATGTGATGCCACCCACATTCAAGGAGGGTCTTCTCACCTCAGTTAACCCAACTGCCCACAGGTTAGGCAAAATGTAGGCAGTCCCTTACTGAGACTCCCTTCACAGGTTCCAGAATGTGTCAAGCTGGCAATTCAAACCAACCATCGGGATAGTTATCTTGCTCAGCTCTATGCTCCTTCAGAATTCAATAAAGAAAGGAAGCAGTCAGGGAAACTAGGAAGCCAGGAAGGAAGGAAAGAAGAAATGAGTAAAAATAAGCAGCTTTTCAGATAGTTAATGCACAACGTATGTATATGACCTGGTAATGCCTAGCAATTTATTTTACAGTTGTCACACATCTCTTTCTTAAAACTTATTTCTCTATGAGGAATATTAATATTTTGTCTGTACGTTTCAAATATGTTTTCTGAATTTGTCACAAGCTTTTTTTTTTCTTGGCTTATAAATCTTTGCCACTCTAAGGTTTTTATTTGAAGAAATTTATGATTTTTCTTCTTTTTGTTTTTCGATTTTGAATCACTATTGAAGCCTAGCTTCCTGTTTTACAGGCTTTAGTTGGTTTTCAATTAACCTCTAATGTAGAGACATTGGCTGCTTTTGTGGGAACATAACCTGACTGTCTGCTCACACTTTCAGCTGGAGTCCAAGAGTTGGAATCACACTTCCTCGTACCTGGAGATTTATTAATTTTGACAGGCAGCAGAGTGCAAATGCCATGTGATGCCATTCTGATTGATGGCAGCTGTGTGGTAGATGAAGGCATGCTGACAGGTATGGCTCTAGCTCCACAGCTCCAGCCTCTGGTGGGCTGTCTCAGGATCTACATTACACAGTCTTGGCTGGCTCTTCCTCTACCTGAATGACAGTCTTGCACTCTGCAAGATATGGGCTGCTATCTGACCTTCCTGATTCTGAAACACTTGCTTATTTCTGCTGTGGTTGGATCTAACAGTTCAAACTAAAGTTGCTTTCTGTGTACTTAAGTCAATGGAATCATTACTTTTTGAATGTTTAGCATTTCTCCCTTGAACAAAAGATTATGACAAACTTCTCATTTTACGTCAAATGATTGTAGGGATTGTTAGATCTTTCAAAATTGCGTCTTTTCCTGAGCACACTTACATAAAATATTTATTCTGATAAACTTGGAGGGACTGAAAGCCATCAACAGCATCCTGAAACTCACAAGGCTAAGTGCAAGGTCTTTGTAACTTGGTTTAAGATCTTAAAAAGTTCATGATGCAAAATTTGGAAAATCTGCTACTTCCAAATATACCCTGGGAATTCTGGATTGACGGTATTTCATTTTTTGATTGCATGCCTTAGAGATCAAGCTATCTCATAGTCTCAGGAACTGAGATCCAGAGAGAAACGACTTCCTCTAGCTTGCACCTGTTTTGATTTTTCATTTAGGCAGCATAATAAAGAGATGTTGTACCAGCATTTCTGTAAGAGAAAGAAGAATCATAATGTCTTTTCAGGGATGAACTGGGAAGCCACAAAAGTGCAGTAAAGGATTGTGGTTCCTGTTAAAGTCTACAGCAAACCCATTCTCCCAAACAGAGTAGAAAGGCATGAAATGGACAAGAAATACATCTCCCTCCTGTGTGAACTTATAGCTAAAGTGGGTGGTGATCACGATAGGTGAGGTTTAATTCCTTCAAGAATCCACAGATTCGTAAAAACCCATCAACTCTAGGACTTTTGTAATATCACGTATTTTCTTAATGAAAGTAGCGCTTGCCCACCATAACGTGACTGATTTCACACTGCCTGCTCCATGCAGACTTGCTGAGGCTCTGAGCTCTTGCTCCCCAGAACTGTCTGTAGTTGCTTTTATAGCTTCAACTCTATCTTGTGTTAGTTCTTCAGCTCACTGAAGTGTGATCCTTCCACCATATTGGCACAAGTTGCCAATGTCTCAAGTGCCAGATCCAATCGTTCCTTAGCTGTCCCATCTTATTGATTTCTCTATTGACTATTCTCATCACTGCTTCTGAACACTCTCTGACTTTCTAAAACCATGTTCTCTCCAGGGGCTTCTAGCACTGGCCACACCCATTCAGATTCCTAGCTTCTCTTCCCATGTTCCCTTAATTGTTGGCACTGTTTAGGGTTGTATTCTTGTCCTTTCTTCTCATTCTTGGTTTGATTCTTAAATAATCTCTCTGTCTCTCTGTGGTTTTAATTACCATTTATAAGCTGGTGAATTCTGCCTAGATATCCCTAGTCAAGACCTTTATCTGAGCTCCAGGTCCAAATAATTGTCAAATTGCATACAAGGCATCAAGGTGGTTGTTCTACAGATAGTTCCAGCTCACAGTGGCCCAAAGGCAGTTTCTGCTCCTCTCAGAACCTCTGTGATGACCATCATCATCATCTGCTTAGTCTCCAAGCCTGGAAGCAGGAAGCTGTTATAAAGTCTTCTGTCTCTATGACCTACCAATATAAAAGTTCCCTTGTTTTGTAACATCTTCCTTATTTCATGAATTCAATACTTCCTTTCTATTCCCCTTCAACTGCTGTAGTTCAGCCCTCATCTCCTCCGGCTGGGACTCTTGTGATTACTTCCCAGCTGGATGTCCACCTTCCAACTTCACAAGACTTCAACTCATCCCTGTACCATGGGCAGAGTGTTCTCGCTTACATAAAAATGTGATATCACTCTACTGACTAAAGCAGTTAAATGTCCCCCTGCCTCTGTCTGCCACCAGTGCCTACAGGAAAATATGTAAACACTAAACTATGTCACGCTTTGAGTTCTCTGTATCTTAGCAGCTGCATAGCCCTTATGGCTCCTTACTCCTCACACTCTACACTTCATACCACACAGCTTGCTGTTCCTTTAATGGCTGCTTCCAACCCATTTGAATGCCTATGTTTAATGTGCAGCACTTGTAGTATTTATCATATGACAGTTTACTTATTTGTTTACATGTCTCTCTCCTCCTCTAAACTACAGAGTTCTCAACAAGAACTATGCTTATCTTGTGTTTTCAATATCTGGGCTGCCTTTGCCCTATGGTAGGCTCCTGGTGAATGTCTGTGGTGTGATGAGTGAGTGCAAGCATGCTTTACATGAATGAGGCATGCTACTTCATAAAATGAGACAGATGCTTGTTTCCTATAGGAGAAAGTATTCCAGTCACTAAAACTCCATTATCCCCGATGGATAGCTCTGCACCCTGGAAGATGCAATGTGAAGCAGATCCCAGACAACACGTCCTCTTCTGTGGAACAGAGGTCATTCAGGCCAAGGCAACCAGTTCTGGGGCTGTGAGAGCCGTGGTTCTTCAGACAGGTTGGCATATCCTCTTGTGGGCTGTTTTCAATGACACATTTCTGCTCAGTGTCTAGTGCCTTGTTTGTTATGTAGGGATCAGTCTTTCAATAGCAAACCAAATATATGTAAATCTGTATATTTTAAATGCTGAGTAGCTGATTGAAGGATGGCATATGCATTTTATTAAAACAGTACACAGATTATAATAATTATTATTTTCATGTTGTGTCATTTATAGTCTTTCCAGACATCAAGGCAGTAGAACAAAGATGTTTACTGCCCTTGTTGTGTACAAGAAGATTCTGAAGTCACACAAGTCAAGTGAGCTGTTAAAGAGTAATACACCAGTAACTGACAAAGTTAGCCCTAAAGTTCAGCTCTTCTGATTGGAATCCCAAGGTGCTGTGCTAGAAAACTTGAAGTGAAGAGTTTTAGAAAACTGAGCCTGTCCGTATTTACTGGGATACTTAAACTTTTTTATAGTTCAATTTTTTAATTTTTTTTGAGAATTTCATACATGAGTACTGTATTTAATAATTTCCGCCTTCTCTCTACCATTCAACTCCTCCCACGTCCCCTCTCACTCTATTTTGTGACTTTATTTTAATTATTGTTGTTATATATTCGTATATATGTATACATATGTTTGTGTATATATATATATGCGTGTGTGCAACTTACTGAGTCCATTTAGTATTTCTCATGTATACATGTGTTTAGGGATGATCACTTGATTTTAATTCAAGTGAGGGATTCATGTATGTGTGTGTGCACACCATGAATCACTTTTTAAAAAGTTATGTTGTGTGCTGGGCGTGGTGGCGCATGCCTTTAATCCCAGCCCTTGGGAGGCAGAGGCAGGCGGATCTCTGTGAGTTGTTCAAGGCCATCCTGGCCTACATAGTGAGTTCCAGGACAGCTGGGGCTACAGGGAGACCCAAAAAGAACAACAAAACAAAAAAGTTACGTTGTGCTTGGAAAAACTGTGCTGTGCCCCAGGTATGGTTTCATACCTTTGGTATGTACTGAAATTGGAAGTAGAGGGGAAGAAGGCACGCTCTGAAGTAGGTAATGTGTTTCTACCCTAGCATTATGTATTGCCCCAATTATCATGCTCTTGTCTTTGGGTTTAAGCACTGTTTAGGTTCTCTAGAGAAAACCAAGACAATGTAGATGTTTAAAAGAGCATCCACAGTAGGGTTTGTCATCCTGAAAAAGCAGCATGCGTTGTTTGTCTTTTCAGGATTCAACACTGCAAAGGGGGACCTCGTGAGATCCATTCTTTATCCCAAGCCCATGAATTTCAAACTCTACAGAGATGCCATCAGGTTCCTCCTGTGCTTTGTAGGGACAGCCACCATTGGCATGATCTACAGTCTGTGTGTCTATGTGCTGAGTGGGGTAAGGTGCCTTGTCTCACTTACACACATACTCACTCTCCTCTATACATTTTATTTTCTATGTATTGACCTTATTCAAGGACATGTTTTCTAAACAGAATTGGGAAAGAAGGCCAAACACTGAGGCTGTGTACAGGCATCCAGCTCCCTGTATGTGCAGTCGATTGCTCAGCTCTGTGATAGCAATCAGATCTTGAGGAACAGTGGGAGAACAATTTGTTTCTTGAGATGTCAACCTGATTCTATTCTTGCACGCTTCCTCAAGGTTTACATGATTTTTTCATATTCAGTTTGAACTGTGAAATACTTTACTAAGGTGGTATTTGAAATGGACAACTTTAAATGAAATCAGATGGCCAGTGTCGGCAAGGTCATGATGAAGTCGTACATCTCTGGTGGCAGTGGGTCAATTTCAGGTGTTCTCCTTGCTCTTTGGAAAAAAGACACCAAGAGACATAAGCATGGTCGTACCTTTTGACTCATCGATACCTTTCTCAGAAGTAATCAGAGAAGGAAAAAGCCTCATGAATGAAGCTGTTCACCGATGTTTTAGTTCTAATGGTAAAGACTGATTTTCTTCCAGGAACCTCTTGAGGAGGTGGTAAGGAAAGCCCTTGATGTCATCACTATTGCAGTCCCTCCTGCCCTCCCCGCTGCTCTGACCACAGGCATTATCTATGCCCAGAGGAGGCTGAAAAAGAGAGGTATCTTCTGCATTAGCCCTCAGAGGATCAATGTATGTGGACAACTAAACCTTGTTTGCTTTGATAAGGTAGGTGTGCTTCATCTTCACTCTCAGGGCCATTTATCACCACCATCAAGAATAGATGCTTTTCCTGTTAGTGAGGCAGAAAGAACAGGCCATAAGTACTTGATTTCATCTCATTTGTGGTTGGATGTGTGACCTCGGAAACTTAAACTTTCTGATTCTGGGCACTCAAGAACAAGGTGTAGGACCTGAATTCATGAGTCTTTTAGGGTCCTTTCAGCTTTGATATTTGAAGCAATGGATTGAAATAGCTTTCTGCTCTATGTAGTTAATCCCCCTCAGAAAAGCCAAAAGCAAATTTTAAGTAGTTTACTGTGTCCACTTCCATATCTCTAATGCTTAGAACATTGCCTGGCAATTGATTCAATACTCAGTATTTATTGAATTACAGAATGAATAAAAAAGAAACAGCTTATTAAACTATGTGTTAACATGAGATTTTTTATTATAATACAGTCACATAGCAAAGCCTTGCTCTATGTTCCATCAGAGGTTATTGCTTAAAACTATTCCTGGTTATTTGCCAGTCCTTCCCTATCAATCTCTCACTCTACTTTTTCTTGAGTGCGTTTAGTCTGTACACAATAAGCTGGGGTACAGATGGGTTGTCAGAGGATAGACAGGAAGGGGATAAAGGGAGCCAGACAGAATGGTTTGGACACAAGCAAGATGCTAGTATTAAAAATGGGTGCTCGTGAATCTTGAATGTCAAAGTAAATTTTTAAAGTAAATTTTAACCAATGGGGACCTATTAGAGGTCATTGTTTTTTCCTTTGTCTTTAATTTTTTAGGGGCGTTTGAAACAAAAATAAGATACAATTCACCATTTCCATCATTTTTAAGTTTCTAGTGCACGGCCATCAAGTACCTTTTCAGAGTTCTGTGGCTGTCACCACCATCCATCTTGAGAAATTTCTTCATTTTCCCAAATGGGAGCTCTGTATCCATTAAATAGCACATTGAGGGCTTATAGAATTAATGAAATAAGAACTGTATTTTACGATTAGTTGAGAATCAGAACGTCATAATAAGAACAGAAAACTAATGTGGCTCTGTCACCATGCTGTGTTATTTTATGAACAGAGCAGTAACATAAAGGAAAATGGTCCACATGATGTCATACTTTGAGTTTGAAAATAGAAACAGCAACGGAAGAGGTCATTGTGGCACAGATTTGAATAAAAAAGAGCAGTAACTTGAGTCTCGTTATTATCAGCTCTTATTGTGGGCTAGGTATTAAGCCAATCACTTTGTATTATTTCATTTAATATTCAAAACAACTGTGTGTGATTAGTATCTGGTGTTTAGAGGGAATATGTAATGTTCGTAGTATACAGATGGTATTTGAACTTAGCCTGAGTTCTTGGTCATTTTATTGCACTGAGAAAATTATCAACACATACTTTTGTTTTTAAACTCCAAAAAACATCAAACAGTGGACCATTTCTTTACTCCCATGTAGAGCTCAAAGGCAAAAATTCTTCTCTGTTAGTTTCTACTGTAAAAACAGGGATCCACCCATTGTATTGATCTGAAAGTCTTACCAAGGCCTTTTCTACCACTTCCATCTATTTTTAGATATTTGTACTGGTTAGTTTTTGTCAGCTTGACACAAAGTAGAGACACTTGGAAGAGGGAACCTCAGTTGAGGAATTGTCTCCATCAGACTGGCCTTATGGGCATGTCTGTGGGGCGTTTTCTTGATGGCTAGTTGTATATGGGAGTGCTCAGCCCACTGTGGGCGGTAATATCTCTGAGCAGGTGGGCTGGGCTGTGTAAGAAAAGTAGCTGAGCAAGCCAGTAAGCAGTATTCCTCCATGGTCTCTGCTTCAGCTCCTGCCTCCAGATTTCTGCCTTGAGTTCCTGGCCTGACTTTCCTCAATGTTAGATTATGATCTGGAAGTTGTAAACTGAAATGAACCCTTTCTTCTCCAAGTTGCATTGCACATGGTGTTTATCACTGCAAGAGAAAAGTAACCAATACAAAATTCAACCCAATCCTCTGAGGTGAAAGAAAATACTGTATTCTTACCACAGAGAACACAAAAGTTTATATCCAGTTCAAACTTTTCATGCTTGAATTTGCTGAAACTTATGCCTAGGGATCCAGATACCTTATTGTGGTCCTTCTAAAAGTACCCATGTTGATCATAACTTTTGATGTGTGTTTTTCTATTAAAACATACCTTATTTGCCTTCACTACTCGGTGAGTGGATCTTCCAAGTAATCTAAGGGCTTGTTTCATTCAGACAGGCACCTTGACGAAAGGTGGCTTGGATCTCTGGGGGGTCGTACCCTGTACCCGGAATGGGTGAGTACCCTTGACTAACCACCTGTGATTTTTCTCTCCAGAGTCCCATGTTTACTCTCCAGACTTCTAACAGAGACACTTGACTTTGATTTTTGCTAAGCAATGATTGCGAAAGTCCGGTCATTTAATTTCTCTTCTTAGAATCTTCTAGGTCTCTCTAAACATGCATATTAGCCTCCATTCCATCCCACCTCCATGCCACTCACAAACCCAGGTAAGGGGAAGTTTGGCACCCCGTGAACTCTAGGCCTAGAGGCCTGTTAATGGCCAGAGTCAGAGAGCGCATCAGGATGCTGTCCTTCTTGAAGTGACAATCTGTATATAAACAGAGCCTTTTGATGTGCTAGGAGGAAGGAAGAGGAACAGTGCTGGAACTGAACTAGTGTCAAGTTCTTAGTTTTCTGATTCTGAGAATCCTACTTTCTGACTGCCAGAAACTCCTTTGCTTAGACAGAAAAGTTTTTTTTTGTTGTTGTTGTTTTTTGTTTTTTTGAGACAGGGTCTCCCTGTAGCCCCAGCTGTCCTGGAATTCTCTATGCAGACCAGACTGGCCTTGAACTCAAAGAGAGCTGCCTGCCTCTGCCTCCAGAAGCCTGGGATTAAAGGTGTGTGCCACCATGCCCGACCTAGAAACGATTATTTTTTAAAATAATTATTATTTAATGTGTATGTGTACATTGTATGTATATATGTAAGTGTACCACATGTGTACAGTGCCTGCAGAGGTTAGGAGAGAACATTGGATCCAATGGAACTGGAGCTAAGGACAGTTGTGAGCTGCCGTGTGGGTGTTAGAAATTGAATCATGGCCCTCTGCAATAAAGGCCAGTTCTCTTAACTGCTGAGCCAGCTCTCCATCACCAAAAAGATTCATTTTGGTGTCTCAGATTTTCAATTCTCTGCCCCCACCTCAGCCCTCTTGTGGCCATGTCTGACTTTGTTTCAACGTTTGTTTTCCCTCCCCAGTACTACCTCCAGTGGCATCAAAACTTGAAATGTGGGTCAACTGGCAATGCTGGATGTTGTGTTTGAAAGTGAAAGCATTTCCTTCAAACACTTAAACCCAAGGCACAAAGCATGTCATACATAAAGGGCTGATTGTAGTTCTGGTATTATGTAGATGACAGTCTTATCCATAAAAGATTTTTAGGCTAGGTGTGAGGACACCAACTTGCAACTTCAGCTATTCAGGAGGCAGGAGGTCTGCAGGTTCAAGGCTTGGCTGAGCTAGTTCAAGGCCAGTCTGGGAATAGTGGACGCTGTCTTAAAAATGAACTACAGGGGCTAGAGAGATGGCTCAGTGGTTTAGAGTGCATCCTCCTCTTGTAAAGGACCTAAGTTCAGTTCTTAGCACTCACATCAAGTTCTCATGACTGCCTATAACTCTAGCTCCAGGGGATTTGACACCTTTGGCCTCTAAAGGCACCTGCACACAGGTATGCATACCTCCTCCACATATACATAATTAATAATAAATAAAAATGCAAATGAGATAGAGTTCAGTTATAGGGCATTTGCCTAGCACATTCAAAACTCTGTGTTCAACATTCAGTACCGGAAATTATACATGGTTAATGTATTGTCATTTACCATAATGGTCATGGTAAATATTATTTGTGGGCAAGTCTGTTTTCTAGGTTAAAATTAACCCTGGTACCTCTAACCACTTCAGTTTACAGAAAAAACCTCTTGCAAACAAGCATTAAACTTTCTAAAGCGCCTTTCAGTTTCCCTAGAGGATTTAAATATATACCTGGAATCCTTGTTCATTAGTGTTTTTCTACTTTAGATTCTATAAAAATATGAATTTGTTCAAATTTTGAGTATCTTGGAAGAATCTTTTGCTTACTTATATTTGTGTCCCTAATAGCACAGCATTTCACGGGGCACAAATAGTAGGCACACTCTAAATGTTTGTCCATCTAAAAGGAAATAAGTATATTCTGCTTTTTAAACGTCCTACTGATGGAATTGACTCCATGTTACTCACCAAACTTTGGAAATTTTCTATTCCTAAAAATGACATTACAATTAAGTAAAAACAATTGATAATAGGTTTAGGTTACAGATTCATCAATTAGGCCTTTCCTTAACCTCCCTCCTTCCTTTTCTCCCTGAACTTTTTTCTTCTCTCCCATTCCTTCCACCTCCCTCTCTTTCTTCTATCCAAAATATCTTATTGGACTTCAAATGACTTAAATATTATTTTAAAATCAATCTACTGGGTCTGGGGAGATGGATTAACCGGTAAAGCACTTGCCACGCAAGCATGATGACCTGAGTTTAATTCTCAGCACCCATATAAAAGCTAAGTGTAGCAGCACATACCTGTAATCCCAGTGCTAGGGAGGCAAAGACAGGAGGACCCTGGAGGTTAGTGGCCAGTCGGTCTGCATGAATTGGTAAGCTCCAGGTTCAGTGGAAGGTGATCAAGGAAGATACCGATGTGGACTTTTGGCTTTCACATGTACCAGCATACACACACACACACACACACACACACACACACACACACACACACACACAGTAAATACAATAAATAATAATGAATGAATGAAATTAAAGAAAATAGATCTTATTTTAGGTAAGAAGTTAGTGCCTGTTATGTAAGTTATTAAATATCTTCTCATTGTAGGTCTGATAAATCTTTTCCTTCTTAAAAGGGGTCTGACCAATATACCAGAAACTTCAAGCCATTGAAGACTACTTTAGCCTAATATACCATAGATAATATAAATATAATAAATAACAATAAATAATATAAATAAAAATATAAGGACAGGGATGATAGAGAGCTCTGTGTGCTATCCAGAGTCTGGATTCTCAGAATTCAGATGAAGAGGGTCCATCACCAAAATCAAATTTCTTTTCCTGATCTGTGCTGTGCTTTGCAGTATGAGATTAAGCTTTTATGTCAACAATATTGCTGGTGATCTCTTCCTTTTAGATGATTACTAAAATGCCACAGGGCATGCTGTAAACCACTAAGGGGACTTATCATTTGACATATAATGAGAATAACTGAAAGGGTCAATAAGCCATGAGGTTTAGTGTGACACCCTTTAGTGTGACACCAAAGAAGCTTGTGACACCCTTTAGTGTGACACAAGGAAGCTTGGATGCAAAAAGGCCAGGAAGAAATATGGTGGAACTGTGAGTTAACTTTACATTATAGATGCTTTCAAAAGCAAAAGGCTGGAGCAATCTAACACTGTTTTTCAAGAAATGCATAGTCTATGTCATTAGAAATAGCAATAGGATCCAGGAAACCATATTTTAAGACAAACTGTGAAAAATGAAGTTTTCTATGACACAGTCTGGGAGGTGAGAGATGTGAGGAAACTGCTGTAGGAAGAACAGCTAAGCGACCCATTAATCTCAGGGGAAGGACACATGAAGAGATGGAGTGACAGCTAAAGCCGATTGACAAAGCCAAAAGAAGTTGACATGGGAGGAGGGAGAACAGGTAGAATCTGATTAATTCTGTGCAGCAAGTTTTGTGTCCTCTCAGAAAGCAAACTGTAGTCATTCAGTTACAAATGTGATTAGTTTTTCAAAACAAAAACTGCTGCCCATTTAAGGAGGGACTGATAATCAGCATTGTGGAGCACATTCCTCTAGTGGGGCCATGGCTTAACTCAATGGCTCCCTCTTTGAATTAGTGAAAGAATCTCGTATATGACATTTGAGTTTTGTTTCCATATATTTTTAGATCAATTTTTCTTAGAAAATCATGTGGATAGTGGGGAGGGGGCAATTTGGACGCAAAGTGACAGGGTTGAAGAGAAGTCATACACCATCCTTTACAAAAAATGTTCACCATTATGACTTGTGAATTTCCAAGAATCAGCTTATCGTTTATTTACTTATGTATTTATTGAATGTCTACTGTAGTCCAAATATCAAATATGTTGGTAGACAGATATGATAATACCTAGCCCTGTAAGACTGATCAAAGGAGGTGCCCTTAGACATGGCCTAAGTATTCACTAGTCTATTCTGTCCACAAGGATACGAAAGTCCAGTTACTAGTGTGGGAATAGAGAAGCTAGAACTACGGATGAGATCTCTAGTAACTCCCAGACTTCTGGAGTTACTTCCCAGTCTGTGAAGAGATAAGGAAAAGCTGGGAAAAGAGCATGGGGCTGGAGATGTGTCTCAGTGATTAAGAGCACTGGGTGCTCTTCAGAAGACCTAGGTTCAATTCCTAACACCCAGGTGGCAGCTAGAAACCATTCCTAACTCCATTTCCAGGGTATCTGAAGCCCTCCTTTGGCCCCCATGGGCACCAGGCACACTTGTGGTGTTCTTATATACATTCAGGCAAAACACTCATGCAAATAAAAATAAATAAAATTTTAAGATGTTTTAAAAAGAACTTCAAAGAGCCTCGAGACCTTTCTGTTAGTGAACATACCTCAAGAGGAATGCAAGTTAATGTTATCTCATGGGGATTGGAGAATAATCCAACAATGAATATTAGATCGAAGATCTTCACCTCTAAGAAACTCCATTTTTGGCATAGGGGATGAGATGGACTCCTTTTTCTCTCTCAGCTTCCAGACCATCCACAGCTTTGCCTCAGGCAAGGCTCTGCCCCAAGGCCCACTGTGTGCAGCTATGGCCAGCTGCCACTCTCTGATTCTTCTTGATGGGACCATCCAGGGAGACCCTCTGGACCTCAAAATGTTTGAAGCAACCAAATGGGTAGGTCTCTGCCCTTCAGAGAACCCAACAGGTTTCTTTAATGCCAGCATGACACAAGCTTTATCACAGCCTTTTAATACTTTAAAATGTGTGGTTTCTGGCATGATATAAAGGGCAAACTAGTCTAAGCCTGGCTTTCTGATCTGTATTGCAGATAATAATAGTGTTTATACTGTAGGTTTGAGGTATTAAATTAAATGGCATGATAAAAATCCTTGGTATGGTTGTAAGTTCAATAGTATCTGGCACCTATTTTAAGTTCAATACTTGTCAATATAATTATAATTTTTATATAATTATTTCCTG